GTATTTTAGCCAAGTTTAGGTGACACAAATGTGTGATTGGTGTGAATTAGAATTTTATTTATTAAAAACTTTTTGAAGATCAGAATTTAGAATAAAAATAAAAAATTATTTGAAATAAAAAGTTTGCATGTTATAAAAAAAGAAATAAAAAAAGTTACAAAATTCTGATTATTATACCTAATAATTAATAATTATGTAATAAAATTTATTATTCTGCAAGATTCATAATATCAAAATGAAGTGCATTTTAGTATTATGAATCTTTCATGGTTCATAATTTTTTTTTCAACATAATTATTTTTTTAAACATAATTTTTTTTTCAACATAATTTTTTTTTTAAACATAATTTTTTTTTCAACATAATTTTTTTTTTAAACAATTTTTTTTTCAACTTTCATGATTCAAACTTTTTTTTCAACGAGTCTGTCATTTTTTTTACATTTATTTTCTACGTAAGACTTTTTTTGTACCTATTTTAAGTTATTATTCAAAATTGTTATTACCCCATATATTCAGTTTTTATACAAAAGAGCAATAGCTTTCCTTTTTTAAAATTAATAATAGTATCGTATACATCAAATGTAAGCTGATCAAAAACACAAATTTAATTTTTGGAATGCAGTCCCAAATTGTTTTGTATAAACTTTCATAAGTATTTTAAGTTTTTCCATGAAGACATTTATCATAAGAGTTTCAAAACGCAGTTTTTGACTTTTTGTTAAAAAACAAAACAAACAGTTCTATGTGAATCTCGTTTGTAATGTAGAGATACCATTTGCTTTTATGTTACTTGCAATAGGTCAGCAAAGATAGCACTAGTTATTTTTTAAATGCAGTTGAATTGTGTAAACATATCTTGTAAATATGTAAAGAAGATATTTTATTGATGTCATATCCTTTACTGTTATTTATTGAAGTAAAAATAGAAAATAAATCAATTGATTTTATAAATACAACATAGGCATCACAAAATAAGTAACGATTCCAGTCCTTATTTTTTACTTTTTTTAAATAAGATTGAATGAACCTAACTTATTGTTAACAACAGTACTCATAAATGTTATTTACAAAGCAAACAAAAAATTTATTTTACCGTTCACATTAACCATGCAATTACCAATATATAAACATAAAGTATTTTTGTAATAATTGTTTTTTTTTTTCTTGTCATAATGTCATAAAAATCAAAGAAACCTGTTCGTCATATCTTTCCGTATCATAAATATCAAAATATAAATACAAAAGCCAATTATTATAAGCAAACAAATAATAATATTATAAAAAACTTTAAAAATAATTAGTATTTACACGGTTAAATATGTAAAATTAGTTGAACAAGAATTTTAAAGTATTTGACACAGTTTTAAGGTTGTCCTAGCCACTGGCGTAGGAACAGAGTGGGTGGAAAAGGCTACAACCCTCGCCTTCCCCCCCCCCCCCAATTTTATACCCCCCTTAATTTCTATTTCAACCCCTCCCCCAACTTTCTTGACCTTTCTACGCCATTGAACCTTGCCATCTATTTTTTTTTTGCTTTTAGGATCATAGACAATGACTTGTTTAATTTCTATTTTAAAATTATTTATTTGTTTCAAAAATTAAAGCCATTTAATGAAGCGTTGAAAAGTTAATTAAATGCACAGCTAGTCCTTTTTTTGTACACTATTGGGAATTAAAATTAGCTTCTTTTTTTTTCAAAAAGGTTCCTAAAAGTTATAACGATCCCAATTTTGTGGGAGTTTTTATTAAAATTCTTATAACCTGTTTAAAAGGTGGTCCGTTTGCATTTAGTATATGAATGCTGGAATGATCGTGATTTAATATAAAACAGCGATTTTATGCATAATTTCTAGTAAAACCTTATGTTTAATTTCTATTTTAAAATTATTTATTTGTTTCAAAAATTAAAGCCATTTAATGAAGCGTTGAAAAGTTAATTAAATGCACAGCTAGTCCTTTTTTTGTAGACTATTGGGAATTAAAATTAGCTTCTTTTTTTTTCAAAAAGGTTCCTAAAAGTTATAACGATCCCAATTTTGTGGGAGTTTTTATTAAAATTCTTATGACCTGTTTAAAAGGTGGTCCGTTTGCATTTAGTATATGAATGCTGGAATGATCGTGATTTAATATAAAACAGTGATTTTATGCATAATTTCTAGTAAAACTTTATCGTTTGAAATTCCATTTGATGCGGGAGAAGAAAGGGCGGACACGCTACTATAAAAATATTTTTACCAAAATTCTTTATAAAATATTAGTTTAAAATTTAAAATTCAATCAAAAATGCCATCGAAAATCAGGTTTAGAATGCGTCATACTTTGTTTTACATAAAGCATAAAATAAGTTAAAGATTAGTTCGTAAACTTGTATTATTGTTATTGAGGTATTATTACTGTATTTTTTCAAAACTTTAATTTTGTCTTTTATTTCCAAATTTTGTTTTTATTTCCAGCTGCGCTGACGTGTCTTTTATGTTTCTATTTTTTTTTAGATGAGTAAACATTCATATTGCGATTGTAAACCATCAATATTAATGATATTGATTTAAAAGATTCTTAAATTTAGTAAATTCTTGCGATAAAAGTTGGTGGTAAACAATTGTAAATAAAAATCTGAGTTGACCTGATTTTAAAAATAATTTAACAATCATTTTTATTGCAAGAATTAATCGTTTTTTTATTGCAGGAATTTACCAAAACCACGGATTTTATTTTAAAATTCAATATAGAAATTACAGCAAATAGAAGCCGTGGCGCAGTGGTAGCGCCCTTGCCATAGAAACAAACAATCCGTGGTTCGAACCCCACCTCCAGGCAAGCTTGCGACATCGGTTAGATAGAAGGCATGAACTTCCTATTAAATGTTCTTTGGCGGTGCTCTGTGATAAGTCCATAAGGACTTCTTGGGGTACCTAAACAAAAATTTAAAAAAAAAATCTGAGTTAATTAATATTACATAAAAAGTTTATATTTCTTTTCCATTGCACACCATCTTGAAAAAAAATTAGTTTGCAAGACACTTATAACTAACCTAAATTTAATTATAAAACAACAAATGTTTATATGTTCATATGCTGTTTATATGTAAATGAGGCCATCCTTATAATTCTACGCAGTAAATAGGGGGGTTGCTTTCTTTTTGTAACTGTAAAGACGACGAAAAGTTTCATTACGTATTTAAAAAAGATAATAAATATTTATTTGTATAAAATGTTAGAAAACATTTGGGTGAAATTAACTTAAAATGCGAATAAATATTTTAAAACATTCTTCTTTTCTTTTCTTTTTTTTTTTTTGTAGAAAAAAGAACCTGAAAGTATTGTGATCATAAAACCGTTAGCCAATTTTTTATTTTATTATTTATAAATTAAATTGATAAAAACCCTGAGTTCTAAAAAAAACTTTCTCAAGCATTTCTTATGAATTTAATAAATGTAAGAACCAGTAGAACCCGGTTTCTATCTATAACTAGAGAAAAATGATATTACCGTAACCGATTGATTTATACATCTGAAACCGTTTGTAGTTTTCAGATTACGTGATAGTTTTAGATTACCTTATAGTTTGATAAAATATAAAAGTAAAAAAAAAAAAAAAAAATTTAAGATATAAAATTATAAATTAAATGGTACCAAGAAAAAATTTAAATTTTACGTAATATTTTATTATAATTATAGAAGTTTTGAGGGACTTTAAAAAGCTATAGAAAAAAATTGAAAGAAACTCCAACATCTTTGCATAGATCAACCGGCAAAAATCAATGAAAACCTAATTGTATTTTTGTACAAGGTGGCTACTTTTTTATTTTGTACAAGGTGGCTTTTGTTTAATGTAGATTCGTGTTGATAATAATTAATTTTTAAAAAACATGCATCGCTATCAGATCTAAACTACAATTCAGGTTGCAGTAGAAAACTTTTTGCTTCCTCTGTAAATAACAAAAAATTCGTGCATACTTTCTTTCACGCTAACGTCAATCTTTAAAGAAAAGCTAAAGGGTGGTTTAAAATGAGTTTTTGGGTGAAACTTTTTTTAATTTGAATACAATAAGTGAAAACCTTTTACGTGTTGTAAAAACAGTTTATACGAGTCAACAGAAAAGAAACTGTTAAAATTTTTAGCCGGATTCACCTTTAAAATTTTTTTAATAAAAATCTAGATTTTGAGGGTAAACAGTACTCAAAATTGCTCTGTTTTATAAATGGGTTGTAAAACGTTTAAATTTTCAAAAGTTATTTCTTATATTTTTTATCTAGTTGCAGGATTTTTTTTTTTAATTTTGAATAATTAAATATAAATAAAGAGCACATTGGATATGTGATAGAACTACAGATTCCATCCATTGTATGCCAATAAGTTTAAGTAAATTAATTGTATCTATTAGTAAACTATATTCTTAAAATTTCATTTTTAAAGATTAGTAAAATTACTTACTTGAATAAATAACAAAATTAACTCACTAAGTGAGTTAATATCCAATATTTAATAGGGTATTAAATTTTTATTACAATAACTTTCTTAAGATGTCATTTAAAGCTTTATTTTCAACAATAAAATTCATTATTCTTATTACTATTTTAGAGTTTTTCTTTCTTGCTTAAACATGACGCAGAAATTCAAAGCAAATTTATATAACCAGATGCCCTCAAAAACATAAAATGTTATTGTTTTAGAAATTAAAAAAGCTCCCCCTCCCCTATTAAAATTAAATTTAACTTCATTTGTTTAATAACATTTACTGTTTATTTATTAATGACAACAAATATTTATTTTCCTTTATTAGAATAGTTATTGTTTTTGAATAATATGATCAAACATTGAATAAATTAATAAATAATATATATCAATAGTAGTTTACTTTTTAAAATTCATATAATACCTTTTAATTTGTTTAAAATTTTTTTAAAAACTTTTAAAAAAATTTTAATTTGTGTGCTGTCTGAAATTTAGTTTCAAAAATTAATTATTAAAGTATATATATATATATAAAAACAATTAATTGACTATTTTTTGATCATCGTTGCTAATTCCAAAAATATAAACTTTCTTTTTCAGATAAAATAATAATACTTATACAGTTAAAACAATATGATGAATAAACACATCATAAAAGATATGACTGATGGAAATCATTTAAATCGTACAAAGCGTTAACATTAAAAATAACTATAGAAAAATGTTAAACATCTAAAAATTTAACATTACTGAGTTTCTGGTTAGAGAAATATTATGTATCATGCATTTGATTAGACTCAAATAAAAAAAGTTTGGCCAGGCTAATTATTAATTGGATACGTCCATGTTTTTGTTTTCATCCTCTTCTTTTTCAATTTCAGCCAATTCTTTCTCAATAAGTTCCCTAGCTTTTCTGACGTTTTGAAACTCATTGTAATGATTTCGTCGATGTTGTTTAAATTCATCTTTTTTATGTTTTGCCTCTAATGTGAGATTCTCATCTTCATCTTCACCAGAGTCTTCTCCACTTATATAATCTATTCGGCTACCTGTTGCAATTAGTTTACTTGTAAGTTCACTTGAACTAATACCACTATTTGTTATCTCTTCATCATCAACTATCTAGAAAAAATCAGAATTTAAAGGTAAAAAAATTGCATACACACATATATGCACACACACAGGACACACACACAAATGCACACATACATACATATTTTAAAGTTAAAATATGTACATATATATATACATATATACATATATATTTATATATATATATATATATATATATATATATATATATATATATATATATATATATATATATATATATATATATATATATATACATACATTATTAAATAAGCCCTATATAAATGAAATGAAAGAACGTTAGTTTAATATACTATAATAGTATAAATATTTATAATAAATTTAACTTAATTCTTCTTCTGCTAATTCTAGTTATCATAGTTTATCTCAAAACTCATTAGATTTTACTTATTTTTAATACAAAATAATTTTTAAAAAAATGCTAGAAAAATTGATTTACTTCGTGACTATAAGGTGTCGGAGGTTCGTCGATCTTCATGTGACCATAGTCTTTATTTGCTGGGTGAAATGTTTCTAAAATGTTCATTTCATCCCATTTGATTTCAGGATGAGGAGAAGGTTCGTTTCCATGCTTAAGAATTCCTTTCACGTTACTTTTTTGTTTTGTTATTGTGTGAGGACTTTCAGCCATTTAAAAGATAACTAATAATTACTCTGCTCTCACAAATCTCTTGTAAATATTACTTTTGTATTTAAAATTCTTGTTAAAAATTCAACAAATCGTTCTGTAAAATAACGGCTAATCTGCAAAATAATGGCCGTAAAATGCAAATGCGAATGCAATCAAATGGGAATTACCATATCGTTTACCGCCTGAAAGAGAAAATGTTTTGATAAATAAGAAATCAATAGGTTATTTATAATTTAAGCCATACCATTCACCTTTTTTTTAGATATCGGCTACATTTCTTAAATTATTTATGAGCTTTATGAAAACCTTTGTGTAGAAATCATATTTTTAATTCTAAGAAATAAAATGATAAATAAAGAGGTCATTTCTTTTTAAATTTTATTTTATTTTATATATTTTTTTATAAATTTTATATAAGTAGCGAGTACTTAGTTTTATATTTAATTTTATAACGTAATAAATCAAATTTTATATAGAATTTAAATTTAATCTTAAGCTTGTAAATAATGAATTTAACATCAAAGTATTTATAAAGTTAAAGCTTTGTTGCATTACCTTGATTATGATTTCATAAAATGAAGACCAAATTAATACATTAGTTACAGATTTATTGATTCCACTATAAAAAACTATAGAGAAAAATACTATAGAGAAAAAGCATTTCTGCATATTTAGCTAAATTTGACCAAAAATTGTTCTTGCCTTTTCTCTGCATAATACCATTGATAAGCATATTATATGTTATTATGTTACATATGTTTTTTGATTGTTATTGTGTATCTATCAATAATACATGATGTAATTAGTACTTGTCAATAATATCAGGTATCAGTTACATGTATCAAAAATAGATTTTTTTGATAAAACATTTTAGTTGTATTAATAAACAATATTTGTATAATAGTTGCTATTGTATTACTGTAACTATTGTATAGTAGTTGCTAATATTGTAGTTTGAAATTGTAAATATATAAAATGACAAAATTTTATTAATAAACTTCTGTTCAATAAATTTATTTATATTTGAAAATTTTGTTATTTTAGTATAAACACTTTTTGTAATATAGTAATATTATCACATCCATATACAAAAAAATTAAAGGCTATGCATGTATCTACATAGCCTTGCTATGGCTAAATGAGTTACATTTGCTAAGGATCATTTTTTCTTTATTTTATAAAATAGTTGTTTGCTATTAAGATAGTCAAAAAGAGTAAGCATCTGATCTATTTATCTATATATATATATATATATATATATATATATATATATATATATATATATATATATATATATATATATATATATATATATATATATATATATATATATATATATATATATATATATGTATATATATATATATATATATATATGAGGCGGGATGCCATCCTGCCACCTTTTTATAAATCTATATATATATTACAATGATTAGGGATGGTATTTTTAATTTATTGAATACCATCCCATTACTTTTTTTTCTCTACTTTGAGCACTATATATATATATATATATATATATATATATATATATATATATATATATATATATATATATATATATATATATATTTATGTATATATATATAAATATATATATATATATATATATATATATATTTATGTGTATATATATATATATATTTATGTATATATATATATATATATATATATATATATATATATATATATATATATTTATGTGTATATATATATATATATTTATGTATATATATATATATATATATATATATATAAATTTTGAAAATTGCTTTTTTCTGGTTCTATATTATTGGGCTCTCTTAGGTTATCATATCTTGAATTACATCATCTAACACCAAGTTATTTAAGTCAGTTACACCAAAGCTATAAGCTTTGTCCGTCTTGTCATAATAGTCATAATCGTTCATGAAAATATATTCTAAATATTAATATTTAAAAGTATATTAATATGTATAATTATTTTTAGATCCAGGTTTCAAACCTAGAATACAAATTAATCCAAAATTTGTCTCAGTTATTGAAGGTAGTTATGCTGAAATTCAATGTAATGTGACAGGTTTACCATTACCAATTGTGCTATGGAGTAAACCTAATGGTTTACTTACAAATAATCATGTGATTGAAGGAAGTTACTTGAAAATTCTCAAGGTATCAGCAGATGATAGTGGAACTTATGTCTGTTCTGGTCAAAATAGACTTGGAAGTGATAGTTCAACATCTGTTCTATCAGTTGAGAGTAAATTAAGTTTAATTTTATTTTTGTTTTTAATTTTACTATGTTACTTTTGTTCTGGCTCCAAAAAGCCCAATAAGGATTATTCTGAAAAAAGTCCCATTTTTGCTTGATTTTACCATATGTGCTTGATTTGAAGGCCCTTAAATATACTTACCCTATGTTTTATAATGCCATGCAACTTAGAGTAAATTAATTAACATTACTTTGTGTTATAAAAAGATCTTGTTTTTATCAACATTGACATAATTGCTTAAATATGTAATGATGATAGGTTTCAAACAAAGGTTGAATGTTTCAAAGAATATTAAAAAAATTAATGTAGAAATTCAATTATAATTCAATTCAATTATTTTCTACTTTTCTTTTTTTATAAAATTTCAAATTTATTTTATTATACTTAAATTAAAATTATTGTTAAAAATTAATTAATTTGTTTTATTAAGTTTAAGTAAAAATTTTTGTTTAATTTAAAATGTTCTGTTTTACAATTTATTTATTTTTTACTGGTAAAATTCCAAACTGTTAAATGAAAGAAAATTCTTTTTAATAAATTTATTTCCAGTTACTTTAAAATATTTATTTTACATTCAACCTTTTTGTTTATTTATAGTTTCAAATCAATAATTTTTTTTTCATGGGATTTTAAAAGGGCTAATATACAAAAATGCTAAATGCACTTATAACTGTATATAAATGCATTGCTGGATAAACCATAATCAAGGCTGTAGGCTAAACTATTTTAGAGAATTTTAGGGAAAATAAACATTATATAACAAATTTTTTTAATTATATAATTATATAAGAAAATTTTTTTTTTTTTTAACAAAAAAAATTTTGACGCAAGGGTTAGAAATAGAATAGAATAGAAATTCAAGACAATTCTTTATCATTAAATTTTTAGATTGGTCATAGAAAAAACATTGATTAGAAATGATTAACTAGTTAATGATTAGTTTGCAAAGGTTTTGTTAAAGCCAAAATGTTAAAAAAAAAGTTCACTTAAATATTTTTTTTTGACCATTAGAAATTCACCCATAAACAATTGCCCCCTAATTTAAAAAAAGCAATAAAGCAAACATAAGAAAAAATTTCATATGTTTGCTTTATTGCTTTTTTTAACTTATGCTTTTACTTATTTTTTAAACTTATGCTTTTCCATTACACAACAAAATCTTAAAACATGGCCTAAATAATCACAACAAAATCTTAAAACAAGGCCTGAATAATTCTAACAATGTTAAAAAGTTTAATAATAAGCAAATATTTTAAAGTTAATGTTTAAGTCAGGTTTAGGGTTAAACTTAGGTTAGGATTTAACACTCGAACACAATTTGTTATGGTTTTTTAATAAATATTAATTTGATCATTCTACTTTTTACTTTTTTGTTATAAAGGTATTTCATTTCCACAGTTCAATAATTAATCGCATATTAGTATGTTATTATTATTTTTTTAGGACGTATGTTGCCCGAAATTACCATCAATTCAGCAGTAAATGTAAATAGCTATGTTGGTGAAAGTCTCACATTTTTTTGTAAGTTACTTGGTGGCATTCCTAAACCAACTTTAATGTGGAAAACATCTTCAGGCTATCAGGTCCCAAGTTCACAGTTGAAAAATGTAGATGATAGTCTAGCTTTAAAACTTTTTGATATCAAAAAAAGTCATGAGGGAGAATATATTTGTGTTGCTTCAAATGCAGCAGGAATACAAGAGAAAAAAATAAACCTTACAGTAAAAGGTAAAATTTAGAAATTTTAATAGTTTATAATTATTCAAAACTAATTTCTAAAATCTAAATTTTTTCCTATTAGAAAATATCTTTTCATTATATTTTTATCCATCAGTCATTTTTAATAATTTTTATAATTGTGTTGATCTTTTATTTATTTTTATTGTTAATATTTTTAACTGGTTGATAGAGTTACAACCATTGGGATCTAAAGCAGGCTTGTGGAGCCGACTGTTTTTTTTTTATGGCTCAGTTCCGGCTCCTAAAAAATATCCAGCTCCGGCTCCCGAACTTTAAGAACAAAAATTGCATGTTTTAGAAATTTTTTTTTTGATCACATTTGCTAGCCCAAAACTATACCAATTGCAGCAATTAATTTTTTACCAACTCTCATGATTACAAGGTTTTTGTATTACTATCAATAGCAAATTCAAAAAAAAAAAAGAAAAATAGTTTAACTAATGCAAAAACTACAGAAAATATTTATTTTAATCTGACTTGAAGATAAAAGTGCTTTTTATTTTAATATTTTTCATCATTTCATATAAATAAGCAAACATTTATGCTATTCTACGACATCAACTTTTGTTTTTCACAATTTTTTTTTCTACTAATGTCCACTCTCTAATCAAATCTTTAGCTGTATTTATTGTTTTGCCAGTTTTACGCAAATATCCTTTGCCGATTCCTTCAAATTTTTCAATGGAATGGAACTGTGTGCAGATTGATGGATAAAATCAAGTTTAGGTATGAATTTGATGTCTCTCCAACTGTACCACTCTTTTCAGAATAATGACAAGAAGCAAGATTTGACCAGAATCAACAGGGGACATCGTGACTTCGATAAAATTGTCTACCATGCAAGTATTCTTTGATGAAAATATCCGAGTTTAAAGTTGACGATGTGACAAATACTAAAGATCTCAAACCACAGCTGCATATTGCTTGCCAAAATTTAATCTTTAAAAAACTCTGAAACTTTATACCTTTTGGGTTGTTCTCTGTTCGATAAGCCAGGATTTTGCTGAATGATTGTCAAATACTAATTGTTGCTTTCTTATCCTTAAAGCCACTCTTTCTTCTAGATTACTTGATCGATAGATAGAGAGCTCTTGTATTGTTTAATGACCATATAAATAATAGTTTTGCTAGATTATGATCCTTTAGCGATTGAAAGTAACGATACAAAAGGATTTTGTAGATAGTTGTGCAGAAGTTTTTTTGTTTTTCTAAATGTTTCAATGACATTTTAATTAGGAGAAAAATTTTGACTTGTTTGTTGATGTTTTTAATTAATACTGTAATTACTTAATGTAATTTTGCAAAGAAAAAAAAATTTAGTAATGCGTTAGTGACAAGTTTTAAAACAAAATTCATCGTTCCAAATTTAATAATCTCATGTTTTAGTATAATTTAAAAGATAAGAATAATCTTTGATCATTAAATCGCGCATTAAATATTTAAAATCATAGTATCAGTATAAAAATATAATACAAAGCAATTTATTCAACACTGCAATGTTTCCATATACTCTTTACTTTTTTTTTAATAAAGCATAATAAAAAATGCTATTAAAGGATAGTATTTTGTTGAGCACAAAATTGTTTAAATATTTATTTTTATTATGTTTTGGCAAGACCGTAACTGTTAGAAAATGTTTAAAAAAATTAGAAACTCAATAAATAATTCATTCAACAAATCAGTTGAACAATAAATGAACAAAGTTTGTGTACAGTAGAAAAAAAACATACATTTTATTCATTTAAAAAAATACGAGAGCCGCTTAATTTTTTGCGGCTCCAGGTCCAGCTCTGGCTCCACCAAAAAACAGCGGCTCCACGGCTCGGGCTCGACTCAACAAGCCTGATCTAAAGGTCATTTTAGTTTTTTTAAAAATTTTTTTTAATTTATATTTATTTTATTTCAATTTTTGTATTAACTTAGGTGATGCTAGAGTTTTGTTTAAACCTCGTGGTTTATACCGAGCTAAAATTGGTGATAAAGTTACCATCAGATGTTATGGATATGGGTACCCTGCTCCATTTATTATTTTAACAGTCCCAAATTATGATAGCAAAGGCATATACAACATAACTCATAATGAAGGTTACATTGAGTTTACTTTTGTTGTTGAATTTGTATTGGCTGGTAACTATACTTGTACAGGAAGAAATTTGTATGGAGAAAAACATGATTTTCTTTCACTTATAGGTGATTTTGTTATGCACATTGAATATTGGTTTGAATATAAAATTTTATATATTTTTAACTTTCTATTAAACTGTAATTTATTTTGTGGTATCTGTTGTATCAGAGATGTAAAATTTATTTTATCATAGCTGTGGTATCTGTTGTATCAAAGCTGTAAATTATAAGATTTACAATCCAATAGATATTGCAGCTTTTTACTTTATGAAGACATACACCTATATACTGATACAACATAAATTTTTAACAAACCAGCTATCATATACAAAAATTATTTTACACACACATACTACTGTGTACTGACATACATTTTTGCAAAAAATACTACATCAGTATAAAGCAGTATGTGTACATCAGTGCAGTACAGAATAACTGCATGATTTACTATAATTTAATAAGTAGTTGATTACTTCTAGCCCACAATTTTATCCTGTTTAAGTAAAAGAAATTTTCTATATTTTTTTTATAACACAGTGCGGAAAGAAGACGAAGCTCCTCTTATTAGTAAACTACCTCAAAGTACCACAATTAATTATCTCTCTACTTTTAAAATGGTTTGTAAAGCTCAAGGAACTCCTAATCCTAAAATATTTTGGACTAGAGGTCAAGCACAAAGTAAAATATCAAACAAACATTTACTTCAAATTGACTCTGTAGTAATAGGAGATGAAGATGATTATCAGTGTCATGCAGTAAATCGTAAAGGATCTGTTGTATCTTCAACAAAATTGGTTGTAAGAGGTATGTTTTTTAATTGGTTGTTTTCAGTTGAGTGTGTACATCCATTTATTTCAGTTTAGTAAAGTGTTCACTTCATTATGTCAATTCACTTCATTATTTCAGCTTTTAATTTTAAAACTATTAAATTATTTTTGGTTAATTCAATTTTTGTAATTCATTTTTCTAAAAGATCTTTATGTGCAAAGACAAGTTATGTTCATATTTTAAATAAGTTTATTAAACCTGCTAAGGGATCGTCCATAATTATGCAACATTAAATTTCACTAATAAAAAAACAAAAATAATTTTTAAAAAAATGGTCTTGTAGAGCCTTACATTAAATGAAAAATAAAAATAGCTCATTAAGTTTAATAAAATTGTAGTGTTAAAGAGGTTAAGATTTCCTACTTCTTCATTTGAAATAAATTTAGCATTATGTAATTAATGAACGATCCCTAAATTAAATTATTTATAGAATTATTGTCAAAAAACTTTATCATTTTGAAAACTTTCAAAAATTTTGCGAAGGAATTTTCCAGCCTAAAGATTTTTTCTTTTTAAAAAAATCTTGTTTGACCAATACATTTATCTTTGATGCCAGTATTGTTGTAAAGGTTAAATTTTAATGTATGAGTTTTCTCTTAAGTAAATTGGAAAAAAAAAAAAAAAATTTTTTAAAAAACATAACTTAATAAAAAAAAAAAAGTTGAACATAGTGAAAAGTGAAATTGAATTTTAAAGTTATGTTTAATAGTGTTAATCATTCCATAAAAAAATCATAAAATTAAAATTGTGTGAAGTTTTTACTATGGAGTAAAAACTTCACACAAATTGTTTCATTATTTGTTTCCATATATATCAGTACTATAGGAAATACAGTGTATGTATATTCATATATATAGCAATATACTATATAAAATATGTTATATGGTAATATTATGCACTGTGTTAAGTGATATGTGAAATTACCTGCCTTCAAATTTATATAATTAGTTATATATGCTATGTTAATAGATTATTACCAGGGATAAAAATAAGCAATTCACAGATCTGAGAAAATGTTGCTAAATATTTTCCAACTTCTTCAGTTACAAAGATAAACTGTGCTTCTGCAACAATGTTTCCAGTCTTTTTGAAGCTATTAGTATCATATGTTACCCATGTGTGAATTGCACCTATTTACAAGCAGTTCAATAACTACCCACCCATTCTGATGACTCACTCTGTACTTCTCAAATAGAACACAAATAAAGTCCTATTTGAGATGCACAGAGAAATAACATATGTAAAAATTTTGCTATTACAACTACAGATTGAAGGTCATTGAAGAATTTATCGTGTCATTCCTGATGGAACTTTAAGTTGCACAAAAAAATTGACAGCCATGACACTAAGGCGACACTATCACCTCCACAGACCAAGTTCTTTCTGTGCAAGAGCAATGTGAAGTGTAAGCCATTGATATAACCTCAAAAAGGGTAAGCCATTGATATAACCTCAAAAAGGGTAAGCCATTGATATAACCTCAAAAAGGGTAGTGCCATGTAGGGTTTCCAATCGGTTTTAACCAAAAACCGTGGTTTATTGTCAAAACCAATATAAATGAAAACCGTCAGTTTTCAAAAATAGTTTTGACGGTTATGGTTTTTACGTTTTTTTTGTGTAATGGTATATGAAAATATAATGTATTAAAAAATCAAATTTGTAAGTAATTAAATTATTGTTTTATTATTTAGATTGTATTTTGCTGGAAAGCTTAATATGTCTTTTCATTTTAAAAATTATTCAAGAATTCCAAAAAAAATGTTCAAATATTAAATAAAATACCCAAATATATTCGAAAGTATTCAAATACTCAAATAGGATAGCGTATTTTTTATATGAAAAATTTTTATTCCTTAAAAAAGCATACAGGTAATTTTAGTTCTGTTGGATCCACAACTACTTTGCAGAATCATATTTTGCGTCATGGAATTACTACTATCGGAAAATAAAAGTTAAAACCATGGGCAGTTATTTACAAAAAACGAGCCTTAAAAATATTGTAGCTGATCTAACTACAGATGGTTTTGATTAATAAAATAAATAACAACAAGTTTATTTGCTCATTAATTCAACAAAGAGGAAATCCCCTTTCAAAAAGTCCAACTACTGTGATGAATTTAATCCATCAAGATTTTTCTTATAAAAAGGAAGTGATGAAACAAGAAATTATTGAAAAAAAACAAACATAAACTTAACTTAGCGTATGATGAATACACATCTTTGAGGCACAGAAGGTAATACAACATATTAAGAATCGTTCTAATTGATTTGGTGTCTGTATGAAAAGAGTTGTAGTAGGTTCTACTCATGATGGTGCAGCAATTAACAAGAAGCTCGTGCAATTAACAGACATTGTTGGTCAGTTTTGCTTTAATCATGGAATTCATTTTGGTGTATAGGTGTATATTTGGTGTACACTTAATACAAGAAAAGTAGACACAAACGTACCAATTCCCAATGAAACGGACAGTGATTCAGGAGAGGATGAACATGGAATTTACAATAATAATTTTAGTTTTGAATCAGTAAACAATGAAAATAATGTTAACAATCCTGAAACTTTGATGAATGCAAGAAAAGTATTGAAATTCATAAAAATGTCATCACCTTGTATTCAAATTTTTTAGAAGAAAGTTACTGAGGATTTTGGTAAAGAAATCGAATTACATGTTGATGTTCAACATTGTTGGAATTCACTTTTTTCATTGACTGCGCTTTTGTTATAAGTCATTGTAAGTTTTATTTCAAAACATAATGTTAGAACACTTTTTTTAAATAACTTTTTTAATAAATAATGTAAGATAAATTTACATAAGTTTTATTATTTAATAAGAAAAACCAAAAGCCACGGTTAATTGCGTTTTTTTTTTTTAAATTAAAAGCGAAACCGCTGTTTTTTTATAAATGCGGTTTTTTGGAAACCCTAGTGCCATGCACATCCAATTAGGCCTCATTAGGCAGTTTGTCACTCCCCTTGACAAGGAGTGAGCACCAGAATGTCACAATCGTGTAATATTTGTGTTACATAGTGTAATATTTGTGTTACATAGTGTAATTTTGTGTTACATAGTGTAATATTTGTGTTACATAGTGTAAATTATAAAAATAGTAGTAATAGTAATACAATTATAACAGTTATAGTTTTAACACAAAATGCATAAATTATTATTAACAACTTTTTAGAATTTTTTTTCAAACTCAATAGTTAATAAAAGTTATCTTTTTTTTGGGGGGGGGGGGGCGGACCTACTAACTTGTGGATTTTTTTTTTGTAAACAATAAAGTCACGTACATAGCTGTTTACATAATTATGCTATATGGTTTTTAAATAAGTTTAAATTTAATTTAAATTGTTTTTTTTTTCTTTTTTGTGTTTTTTTTTTGGGTTGATACCTTTTTATTATTTTGTAATACAGTGATGCCGACTGTGAATATTTTTCCACCATCGATAATTGTAAAACAAGGACATGGATTTACAATTAAATGTTTAGTTAAAAGTAGAAAACTTTATTCGATTCAATGGAGAAAGCAAGGTTTTACAAACTTAGTTCAATTTTCTTCTATTTTGTTTGGAGATGAGCTTTTTATATTATCTGCTAATAAAGATGATGCTGGAATGTACATCTGTATATACAAAGATGATGATATTGAATTGAATTCAACTGCTAATGTAACTGTAATTGGTAAGTTTAGTTTATATTTTGTTTGCTTTATATTAAAAAAGTCTTTTCAACTCATAATTTTTCCAAAATTTACAATTGTTTTGGTTGTAAAAACAATGCAAGTTTTATGAAAATTAAAATTATAAGCTTTATATATCAACATCCTTATAAAAACTATTAGTACAAATTGTAATTTACAGAAACAAATGTTAATAGTTTGCTTGTATGTCTGCTTTTTTTTCCCACATGTATTAAACCTATTTTCCTAATTAATAAAATATTTTCCTATTGATGAAACTTTGTGTTATTGTATTTTCCTTCTTGTTAAAGTATTTCATCATGTTGTAAGATATGTCCAGGGATTATCTTTTTCCGGATATTTCCGGAATTCTGGATATTTTTCTCAACTTTTAGTTTTTCCAGATATCAAAAATGTTTTCCATACATTCAATTATAGGTATATATTTTTGTAATATATTTGTTTTTTAAGCTTTCTTACTCATTACTTATACAAAAATTAAGAAAAGTTAAAAGTATCTGACTATCTAGTATCTGAGATAAAATCAACAGTGTTATGATGGCAATTCAATTTATGACATTAATTTAAATTTTGATGCAGAACATATTTGTTATAGTTTGTTATAATTTGTTTCATGATGTTTTATGAAATGTTTCCATGAAATCAATAGTTTTTTCTGATGGATAAAAACATTTTGTTTCAATTTTTTAATTTTTCTTTAATAAATTGTTTGTTTAATTTTTTTTTTTTTTTTTTTTTTTTTTTTTTTTTTTTGCTGCAGTTAAAAAACAAAAGAAGGAAATAATATTCATAACAATTATAATGATATAAAATCATAGTATAACAAGAAAAACCTCAGTGTTTTTTTTTATGTTTGTAAACTTTAAATACTATGTGCTTTCCTCAATATTTATGTGCTATTGTCAATACTTATGTGCTTTCATCAATAACTATGTGCTTTCCTCAATAATTATGTGCTTGAGAACAAGAACAGCATAGCAAATTGATTTAAAAAAATTTCAAATCAATAAAAAGTATTTTATCTGTTAAACAGCATTCTTTTTAAATTCATATTTAATCACATTTTTTTTCATTAACAAAAAGTTAATAATAATTATTGCAGTTGTGATGCTTTATTTGAATCTCTTTGTGAGGTTTGTTACAAAGTTTGTCTTGCAATTAAATGTAAAACAGCTTTCTTTGTGCAATATATATTTCTGCTATGTACATAATGCGATTGGTAACTTGGGTTTTGTAACCTATTAGCTGGTCTACTTTCTATTTTTGAAAAGTTGCCAACATGTCTTTCTTTAATTAAAAATTAATTTAAAATAGAAATTAAAAAAAAACTATGATCTTAGTCCTTTTTTAGTAATATGCAAACTTAATTGTTTAACTAAAAAAGTTTTTTTTTTTAACTTTGAATCAAAAATTGTTTTATACTAGCTGTTCAGAACCGTAAAATACAGGTCTTTATTAAACCAACCATTTCTATACTTATCTATTCCACACTGACCATTTCTATACTTATTCCTTATTTACTTAAATATTTTTAAGTAAAATAGTTCATTATAAAAAATTGCTTTAAGATAAAAAAAAATTAACATCCACATCTTTACTGCATACGTAGAAAATTAACATCTTTTCTGCATACTTATAAGAGGTTTATTAAATTGTCTGTTTTTCTCCTGAACGCATATCTATGATAGCTTAGTGGTTTAGTGCGCTGTCATCAGTGTCATGTTTAGAGGGTTGAAATCCTCCTCTAAGGGTAATAAATTTTTAAATTTTTTTAATTTTGCCATATTGATTTAAAGCAAAATATATATATTTATATATATATATATATATATATATATATATATATATATATATATATATATATATATATATATATATATATATATATATATATATATATATATATATATATATATATATATATATATATATATATATATATATATATATATATATATATATATATATATATATATAGCAGAAAAGATTTTTAATTGTTAAAATAAAACTATGAAGTTTTCTCATATTATACATATATTATACAAAATTGTTCTATATACTCCCTGCAAACTCAACTTATGCTAAAGATGTTTACACATACAGGCGTTTTTACGTATTCAAATGTACGGTATTCAAATTGCGGAACTAAGAAGATGACAAAATTTTAGCAAACAGAAATTATCAAGATAGGGGAGAATCATGGCAAATCTAAAATCAAAGTTTCAAATTTTCCACTTGGATGAGACAAAATATTTGGTGTTTTTTCAATTTTGTCAAATTTTTTTAATGCAATAACATAAATACTAAAATCCTCCACAGCAGCACCTTCTGGAGTAGCAGGGTGGGCTTATTAATTTTTTTCTTTATTAAGTTTCAGACCATAATTCTTTTTCAGATCATCCACATTTATAAAGAATTACATCCACACTTATAAGCACATCCGCATTTACAAGGAATTACCTAAGCACATTAAAAATCTCTATCATGACATATGCACAATAAATATCTCACCGTGTTTTGATATTTTTAGAAATTTTAGCCTTTTTTAAAAGTTCTTCACCCTTGGTTTATAGAACTTTAAAAATGTTTTATCTTTTATTTTGAAAAATTGAAAAAGATTTAAAAAAAAATGCAAGTGTAAGGATTTGAACCACGTCGATGCACTTCAGAAATACTGCGAGCTAACCACTTAAGCCTATTGTTCGAATGTTTTAACGTTTAATAAACAAAAGACTTTTTGAATGCTAAAAATCTAAATTAATGAGATGTTGCAGCTAGTGAATCCAATTTTTATCAAAAAAAGATTTCCAGAATTTTAGGAATTACATGAAATGAAATTCGAAATTCCAATATAGTTCCGGAATTGCAAGAAATATTCTATAGACAAAAAAAATTTTAAAGTATTTCAAATTAATTAAGATTAAATTTTTTTAAGTATCTCAGTAAAACAAAATAAATTCAATGAAATTTTTTTTAATTCTGATTTTGAAAAACCTTCTTAACATACACAAATTATCCAATATCGTATTATTAAGTCTTGACCTGATTTTTGTTGAAAATGTTCGAGCGGTGGAAAAAACTCTCTCTGCATCAACACTTGTTTGAAGAATGAACGATAGATTATTGTAAACATTCTCCAAAAGTAGTCCACTTTTATCCCAAAATATAATTTTATTTCTTTTTGCTGATTAAATTTATGGTTTTAGTTAAAGTTCTTGTTCTCGAGTGTAAAAGTGCCTGCTGGATTTTTTGCTGTAGCAATTTAGCCAAGGAGGCTTCAGTTTTACTTTCGTTAGATTCAAGTTCAGAATAAGACTCAGAATTTGTTGAATCAACTTTCATTATTAAAGGTCGATTCAACGAAATAAGAAAAGTTTCTTTATTAAAATGTAAGGCTAGGGTTAAAATAAAGTTATTTATTTCCATTTTAGAATGAACAGAAATACTCTTATGAATATTTTTTCCTCTCTATCTCCATTAGGCAGATACTATAAATCCATCAGATAAAATAGTTCTTGTTTGGTTAATTTGGGTTTCTAGTTCTTTTTTCAATGCAAGCCCAGTTTTGTTATCCTCATCTAAATTTTGTAACATAAACGTAAATGTTGTGTCTGCAGAAATTAAGTTGGTGTCATTACATCATAACAGATCTACAGCTAATTTTCCTGGCAACAATAATACCTGTGATGCTGTATTCCATTCTGTTTTATATAAAAGTATGCATTGCTATCAATTAGTGCCTTCTTTAATGAAGATTTTAAAACATTTAAACGATCTAACATGAACAACATGGTACTCTATCTTTTTGAATCTAATGCAAGGTTTAGCTATTTTTTACTATCTTGCTCCATGTATTTTTGAACCACTTCATTTTTCAAAGGCAAACAACAGAATACTTTAACAACTTTTTGCATTTTAGTGATCAATGCTTGTAGTTGGAAATTTTAATTCAAGATTTAAATCACTATTATAATTCTCTTCCTCCACTTCAGTTTGCTTTTTATAAAATACATTCACTATAGCAATTTGAATTGTATGGGCAAAACATAAAATTTTTTCATAAGGTAGCTATCTACCCACTTTTTGCATTGTTGAGACACCGTCATTCACAATACACAAAATATCATTGTGGATATTTAATTGTCAAGTTTTAAGCTACTTTTCTAACAACTTTACACAACCCTCAACCACAAATTCACTATTAATATGAGACAGTTCCCAAATTTCAGTTCCCGAATTTCCCAAATTCTAAACATGACCTCCTGATCCATGTACTCTAACATTCATAAAACACCAGTTACGAGAAGATGTGCACTCGTCAAGTAGGACACTAAAAAATACCTTCTTTTTTGGGGAAATTATTTATGCAATTATTGACTGGCAAATTTTTTCACTAAACCTTCTGTATACTGGTGGGTGATTTAGGAACATCAAATCCATGCATTTTAAACATTTTCTCAAATCGTTAGTCAATCAAAAAATCAAAAAGAACAAAAAAAGTGAAACAATCTCTTTGAAGTGACCATTCTAGATTCAGCAAAACTTTTGCTTGCTTTTGAATTATAAGTTCTTATTATTTTATTCTATATTCTTATTATTTTATATTTCTTTTAAAGTTTTACAATAAAATTTTTGCTTTTAAGCACGACAAAAAAAAATTTTAAATTCAAAAAAAGCTAACAATATAAAATTCCGAATTATCCAGAATTCGGTTTCTTTATATTTTGGAATTTCAAATTAATAAAAACAAATTTCAAATAAAGTAACAAATAAAATTCCAAAATCTGGATTTGGAATCCCTAGTTGCAGCATTATCATTTTATCCTTATATATATATATATATATATATATATATATATATATATATATATATATATATATATATATATATATATATATATATATATATATATTTTCTCAAATCGTTAGTCAATCAAAAAATCAAAAAGAACAAAAAAAGTGAAACAATCTCTTTGAAGTGACCATTCTAGATTCAGCAAAACTTTTGCTTGCTTTTGAATTATAAGTTCTTATTATTTTATTCTATATTCTTATTATTTTATATTTCTTTTTAAGTCTTACAATAAAATTTTTGCTTTTAAGCACGACAAAAAAAAATTTTGAATTCAAAAAAAGCTAACAATATAAAATTCCGAATTATCCAGAATTCGGTTTCTTTATATTTTGGAATTTCAAATTAATAAAAACAAATTTCAAATAAAGTAACAAATAAAATTCCAAAATCTGGATTTGGAATCCCTAGTTGCAGCATTATCATTTTATCATTATATATATATATATATATATATATATATATATATATATATATATATATATATATATATATATATATATATATTTTCTCAAATCGTTAGTCAATCAAAAAATCAAAAAGAACAAAAAAAGTGAAACAATCTCTTTGAAGTGACCATTCTAGATTCAGCAAAACTTTTGCTTGCTTTTGAATTATAAGTTCTTATTATTTTATTCTATATTCTTATTATTTTATATTTCTTTTTAAGTCTTACAATAAAATTTTTGCTTTTAAGCACGACAAAAAAAAATTTTGAATTCAAAAAAAGCTAACAATATAAAATTCCGAATTATCCAGAATTCGGTTTCTTTATATTTTGGAATTTCAAATTAATAAAAACAAATTTCAAATAAAGTAACAAATAAAATTCCAAAATCTGGATTTGGAATCCCTAGTTGCAGCATTATCATTTTATCATTATATATATATATATATATATATATATATATATATATATATATATATATATATATATATATATATTTTCTCAAATCGTTAGTCAATCAAAAAATCAAAAAGAACAAAAAAAGTGAAACAATCTCTTTGAAGTGACCATTCTAGATTCAGCAAAACTTTTGCTTGCTTTTGAATTATAAGTTCTTATTATTTTATTCTATATTCTTATTATTTTATATTTCTTTTTAAGTCTTACAATAAAATTTTTGCTTTTAAGCACGACAAAAAAAAATTTTGAATTCAAAAAAAGCTAACAATATAAAATTCCGAATTATCCAGAATTCGGTTTCTTTATATTTTGGAATTTCAAATTAATAAAAACAAATTTCAAATAAAGTAACAAATAAAATTCCAAAATCTGGATTTGGAATCCCTAGTTGCAGCATTATCATTTTATCATTATATATATATATATATATATATATATATATATATATATATATATATATATATATATATATATATATATATATATATATATATATATATATATATATATTTATTTATATATATATATATATTTATTTATATATATATATTTATATATATATATATATATTTATATATATATATATATATATTTATATATATATATATATATATATATATATATATATATATATATATATATTTATATATATATATATTATATATTATACAAATATATATTATACAAATTTTTGAGCATGGTTTTAAGCTTTAATTACAAGCTTAACAAGTTTTTTGCACATGTCTTGAATATTCTGTTTTCGTGTATTTTTTATGTATTTTTTATGTACACCCAGCCATCACTCGTGCTTTATCATAAGTCTTGATTTTATAGATATAATCTGTAAATCTGTGAATAAATGATATTTTTATTTCTTTTCAGAACCTCCACTTATTATAGCAGCTAGTGAAACAGTTTTTAGAGTAAATTTAAATTCAAGTATCACATTAAAATGTAATGTGTCTGGTTACCCCTCTCCATTTATAAACTGGATTTTCCCTGATGGATCAAATGGAGCTTCTAATTCTTATGGAGAATTTGCTTTGGTAAATATGACTAAGTATGACCAAGGACAGTATAAATGTAGAGCAAGTAATGTTGGAGGATTTGCTGAGGAAACTTTTACTGTATTAATAAATGGTAAGTTTATTTTAACTAAAACATATCTTTAGAGTAATATTTGAATTGTTTTAGTATTTAATGCAACCATTAGATAAAACTAACCATGCATTTCAAGAAAATAATAAGTTTTTAAGTACTTTAAGATTTTATATTTTTTTATTTACACTTAGTTATACTAAGTACACTTAGTCAATGTAGTGACATAACAACAACATCTTTGTATGTTCTTATTAGATATTTGATGCACATACTGCCATAAGCACATAAGCCCTCGCAGCTCTCTATTTCAGCATGACCTCTGATTGTGTAGCTAAGTGTGCAATACTATTTGTTTGTATAAATATGTGTGTATTGATAAATGTAGATTTAGCTGCATATAAAATGTTACTAATATACTACTGAAATAGCTATCTGCTGGGACTTTAGTACATATTTTCTCTGAAATAGCAATCTGCTGGGACTTTAGTACATATTTTGTCAGATGATTTGGATTTGTTCAGCTTTATATTAAAGCAAAATGAATTTTTGTTTTTTTTCTTCATTTTTTTCTACTTTTTCTGAAAAATTTTATGGATTTAAGTCAACATTTTAACAATTGTTCTGGCTGCAAAGCTTAGGAACTTAAAAAGACATCTGTATTAAAACTTAATAAAATTTTACTAGTTGCCATAATTGAATGTGTATATGCAAAAATAAGTGGATTTATCAGGTCAGGTAATGTTTACATTCCACAAAGTATATTACAAAAAACATAAAAAATCTTTTAACCCCATAACTGTGGCGTAGATTAAAAAGTTACATTCTCTATTACAGCAAAATGTATTTTTTTAAAATTATTTCAAGTTGTTAATTTTTTTTTCATATAGTGTACTGAAAATTGTAAGGATTTCATTAAAAAAAAAAGAATTTCATTAGCTATTATCCGTCAGACACAAAGAGAGCTATACCTTGCAGTGATAGATATATCCGTCAGACACAATTTAGGGTTTAATCGTTAAGAGCTCAGCCCTCGGAATTAAGAAAAATGAGGTCAGCAATAGTTTGTCAAACTTAATCTTTTAGAGGTTGGCATCAGGTCAGCAAAAAAAACTTGATACAAAGGTTTTACCATAAAACATAGAAATCATGTTGGCAATTTTTTGCTGATCTTAAACACTTTTAGGTCAGCAGTTAGGTTAGCATCGCCGAATGCCAACCCTAATTCAGAGGGCTGAGAACTTAAAATATGATAAAAGAGCCCATCATATATTTAATGGAATAATACAATAGTTATCCCATCATAAAAGAGTTACCCTCATATAAAAGTTACCCATTGTATGTATAATGGAATTATATCATTATTATAATAATTTTTGTGTGATAGTGTTACAGAATCAAATCATTAAATAAATTAAATGGTTTAAAAGCTTTATAAATCTTTATCACATTTTATTTTTCAAGCTTGTTATGAAAAAACTCAGTAGACTTGAAAGTCACTTATTGCAAATAGTTACATTGCTTTTTAAGAAACTTTTATACATCATAACAAACAACAACTTTGATTTTTCAATTTGCTTAACAACTGAATTTATCTGTTAAGCAAGTTGTGTATGCTATTAATTTAAAATGGAGGGGGGGTGGCATTAATTTATTTTTCTGCAGAAATCAGTTTTTAAAGAATAGAAAATGTTTTGACAGAAACATTTTAAATTTGATTTTGAATTTTAGCAGCTGCTTACTCTTAGTTAGCAGGTTGGTTACTGGTAGTTGGCAGGTAGGTTTAGTGTTAAATCAGGTGTTTCTAATGATATCATGCTCTTCTGTATAAACAAGTTATTTTTTAATGTTAGTTATGGCTTTTAAGTGCAACAAGTACAACAAAAGTGAAGTAATAAGTTTTTTTAAATGAACTAATAAGTTCATAAAGTAAGTTATTAAAAGGTCTTAGGTTTAATTAATTAATTAAAATGTTTGTTTATATCAACCAATCAGACTGTATTAGCATGTGTTAAAGGACCATCAAATTTAAAAAAATTCTATATTTGATGGGTTGATTTGGTGGTTTAAATAATGGTGGTTAATAAAAGCATTTATGAAATAATTATCTTTAATAGTTTTAAAGTACTACTGTAATATTATTTATTATATGTTTTTAGAGTTGCCACAAGTTGTCATTCTTGAAGGCACTCATATGTCTGCAAATTATGGCTCTCATGTTTCTATCACTTGTAAAGCTTCTGGTGTGCCTCTTCCAACAGTACAGTGGAGTAAAAGACAGGAAAACATCACCAAAAATATTAAAACAGAAAATGGAGTATTAAATATTTATAATGTAACTTCTGAGCATAGTGGAACCTTCCGTTGTGTAGCAAAGAATGATATTGGTTCAGTTTTATCTGAAGTTCAGTTGCATGTTAAAGGTTATTGTCACTTTTAAAAATTTTTAATTCACATCTTTCATAATAAAAGTAAATAATTATTATACTTTTTTTTCAACAATGTTCACCTCCCTAATAAAGGGAAGGTTAATATAGTTGAGGAGGCTACTTTATTGTGGTTGCAATCCTCTTTCAACTCTTTGACTCCATACATATAGAGTTTATACATACATATATATATATATATATATATATATATATATATATATATATATATATATATATATATATATATTATATATATATATATATATATCTGTGTGTGTGTGTATATATGTGTGTGTGTGTGTAAATATATACATTACTTATTACTTTTCTTTATATAAAAAGTGTTTCAATAGAAATGTTTTTTATTTTTCTGTGGGCTTTCATTACTCAGTCTAGTTCAAGCACCACACAAATTACCTGCATCAAATATAACAAATATATTGATATCTGTTGGAAAACAACAAAGAAATAGGCATATATTAGGCGTATATATTCTATACATATATACATGTAGATATATACTCTATACATATATAAACAGTATACATGTATACTGTATACACTACATACATACATACATATATATATATATATATATATATATATATATATATATATATTTATATATATATATATACACACACATATACATATTTGTTTCTTGGCTAATTTGAATATAATGTATAAAGAAGATAATATAGAGATTATTGAAACTTCTAACAGTTTTGTTTTAATTGTCATAAAGGTGCACCACAGGTTTCTGTCTTCCCTTCATCTTTGTCTGTTAGCATAAAAGAACTAGTTAAGTTCAGTTGTAATGTAACAGGACATCCAAAGCCAAAAGTTACATGGTTAAAACTTAATGGTGTTCTTCCAAATCAAATATATATTTCTGAAGATTTTCTTGTAATACCTAGTGTAAAGGTATCAGATGCTGGTGTGTATTTATGCAGAGCAGAGAATTTGCAAGGGACTGGAGAAGCATCTGTCACCCTAAAAGTTTTGGGTAAGTTATTTTTTGTTTAGTTTTACACAGGTTTTTCTTTGATATAAAGATTTTTTTCGGTTCTTTTTTTTAGATGTCATTTTTTAAAAAATTTTGTTATTAGTTTATTTTTTATAATTACTACATATTTGTTACAATTTTTTAAAGATTTTATTCTTAATTTTCAAAGATTTTGTCCCTCACTTCTTTCAAGAAGATTCTATGCAAGTTTTTGAAAATATACCAAACACACAGTCCCAAACTAAAATAAATATATGGTTTAAACCTGACAAACCTGATGGACTTTTAATTTATCGTGGTTCATCTGTGAAAGATTTTTTGAGTCTTATTATTCGCGATCATTATGTTATTTTCTGCTTTAATCTTGGTTCCGGTTCTGCTATTATAAAAACAACAAATCGCTTTGAGCTTCATAGATGGGTTTCAGTAGAAGCAAAGCAAGACCAGTCTATTGGTTTCTTAAAAGTGAATGATGATAATCCTGTTTATGGAAAATCATTGGGACGATTTAATGAATTGAATCTTGATAATGAACTTTATCTTGGTGGTTACGAAGATGTAACAAAAATTGTTGCTAATGTTGGATTCATCACCAGTTTTTCTGGATGCGTTTCAGAATTAATTGTCAACAACCAAAGAATAGAGTTTGGTAACTAAGTTTTTCTCTTTCTTTAGTGATTACTAGATAATAACAAAATAAAATAAAATGTTGTTTTAATATAAGATTTAACCCCTTAAACTTTTAAACACTCTTAATTTTACTTTTTATTTTATTGTTTTATTCATTATAATTATATAAAATAAAGTTACTTTCCATTGCACTAAATTTTTTAGTGGATGCAATAACATCAAAAAATGTTGCATCTTGTAACACATGTCATGATAATCCTTGTAAGAACAGTGGCATTTGTAATCCTTCTAGAACAAAGTTTGGTTTTGTTTGCATGTGTATGAAAAATTTTACCGGAGTTTATTGTGAAGATGAAGTTGAGCGGTGCTATCCTGATGCATGTCTTTATGAAGGCCAATGTGTTAATCATGAAAAAAATGGTTATTCATGCAAATGTCTTCTTGGAAGATTTGGAAAACGCTGTGCCCATGGTAAAATATAAATATACATATTTAAATATTTTTTTCAGAATATAATTTTTTTAAAACCTGAAATTTGTTTTTGTAATACCTTGACCATATCTTGACCTCCATACTTATATACTGATTTATCATATACATATCATGATTTATATCTTTCTTATATTTTGAAGTATATTTCTATCATTTTTTAAATGACTTTATGATAAGGCTAATATAAAAAAAGATTTAAAAAAATAATATTTTTTAAATAATATTTCACAAAATTGGCTGAACATAGTTTATTTAACTGTCATCACAAATTTACTCAGTAAACAACTCAACACAACTGACACAACTGTGTCAGAATAAATTGAATACAGTTCAGTTACACAATTGTGTCATAAACACAAGTTGTATTAAGTTGTGTTGACATGATTGTGCAATACACTATCATGTCAACACAACTTAATACAACTGTGTCAATTAAACTTAAAACTGAACTATTTATATAATTATAAAATTGGGTATATGCTATGATAAAAAAATAGAATAGAGTAAAAACTAATGTTATATGAAAATATGTTATAATTAATGTTAATGAAACTTGGTGCGTGTCAGATATGCTTTTTTTTATATGCTACATTTATTTGTTGTTTTGACTTTTTTTAAACTTTTTTTTTATTTTAGGATTTTCAATATCTGTTCCATTATTCAATGAAAGTTCTTTTCTTTCATTTCACATACCAAACCTTCGTTCAAAAGTATTAACAATTTCCTTTTCATTCAAAGTCCAGTCAGTAAAAGACTTTAAAGTGCTTTCTATAGAACAGACTTTCCAAAACAAGTTTAAGTTTTTAAATTTTGCAGTTGAAAAAGGAAGTTTGGTTTTAAAGTATAACCTTGGAGATGGAACTGTTATACTGAATAGTGAAAAAAAAGTAATTTTAGACCAATGGCTTGAAGTTCACTTTGAATTAAAAGGAAAATATTCTTCTCTATCAATTAATGGTCAGCAAGCTCTTAAAAATGTGTCAAATGGTCTTGAAGACTCACTTAACTTAAACACAAATACATTAGTTTATATTGGGAACGGTTTAATTGGTTGCTTGAGACAGTTAGTTCTTAATTCTAAAAAAATTGACTTATCAAAAGAATATGTTGCTGCAAAAAATATTTTGAGTTGTTATAAATTGGCTTCTCCTTGTTTGTCAAAATCTTGTCTTAATGGTGGTACATGTGTTATGGTTAGTGATGATGACTTTATTTGCAAATGTACTAATTCATATGATGGAATTTTGTGTGAAAAGAAAATAGGTTTGTGTGAAAATTATATTGACTGTAAAAACAATGGCATTTGCAAGAAAACATCTCATGGATCTACATGTTTTTGTCCTTTAGGATTCAGTGGTCTCTCCTGTCAACAAAGTAAGAGTTTTATTTACTTTAGAAAGACTTGAAAATTTACCTACCATACATATATTTTATTCTACTATCTTGTTTCTTTTTTAAAGGGGAATTTTTAAATAACTCTGCAAAGTTAACTCAAAACAGCTATATATTGTTTCGGAAGGTCAGGTAAAGAGCAATATATATTATAAACATATGCTTTATAGACATACATACATACATATATACATACATACATACATGCATACATACATACATACATACATACATACATACATACATACATACATACATACATACATACATACATACATACATTCATACATTCATACATTCATACATTCATACATACATACATACATACATACATACATACATACATACATACATACATACATACATACATACATACATTCATACATACATACATACATACATACATACATACATACATACATACATACATACATACATATACATACATGCTGATGATTTAAATAGTAAATAATAGTTTTAAAAATTTTTAAAGGAAATTATTACATCCATAGTTACAAGAAATTTTTTTTATTAATTAGAATAGTGGAGAAAAGCAGAATTTCATTCCTTATAAAAACTGCACGTGAAGAAGGAATGTTGTTATGGCTCGGTCAGAAACCAGATTCTGCATTTAGTTCAGCATTTATGTTAGTAGGCATCAAAAAAGGCACTTTGGAAATACAGTAAATATTTAACTTTAATAGAAAACTTTTTATTGGTTTATTTTTTATGTTTAAGTGTTTAACTTATTATTTTGAAATTTTAGGTTTGAATTGGGAAGCAAACTAGTAATTGGTTTCAGCAAATTAAAAGTAAATGATGATAGATGGCACAGTATTGGTTTATTAAGGTGGTTTTTTATTTTGTGTGCTTGTTTCAATGTATTTGTAAAAAAAAATAATAATAATAATTTAAACGCATAAAACTTTTGATTATAAGTTATTGTTTATTTCTATATACATTTTTTTAACACTTTTTCAAGAAAATATCAATAACCGTAGTAAAAAAGTAGGATGTCACCGGCTTGGACAGGAATGGCATGTGATCGAGCGCTATTGCTGACCATGCAAATGATTTTATTTCTTAAAAACTCAACCACGATTTTTTATATGTTTTGATGATTTGAACATTTCAAAAATGTGCTGAATGTAGAAACTAAGCTAAAGTTAAACTAAGAAAAAAGTTTTAAAAAAAAACTAACGAAAAAAAGTTCCTAACGAAAAATGAAACGAAAAAAATTAGTAAATTAAGTAACAAATTACTACTAATGATTGTTTAATAAATGAACAAATTTTACAAATTTATTAAAAAGTGTTGTATTTAATATTTTTAAATTATAAACATTTATTTTTTCAAAAAAGTTGCAAAAAAAAGTTTGTTTAAAAAAATAACTTAGTCTTTTTAAATAGTATTTTTTAATAATTTTATGTTCTAATTAGTAAGTCTAGTTAAAAAAAAAAAAAGATTTCTAATTCTTTTATTTGTAAAAATAGGAAAAAATAAATAAAAGTTGCCTGTGATTTAAATAAAATAAACTGCCAACAAGCAATTTAATTTAATTTGAGCATTACAACTTTACATAACGAATTTAAAAATTGTTAAATAATTATAAAGCGCTTCATGTAACAAATTTAAAAATTATTATAAATGATTTTAACTAATTCATTACTTTATTTAATTATAAAAATTAATCTTATTAACATTACAAAATACACGCTTATATAAGTAAATAAAGTTATTCTATATTCTTGTATAATTCACATTTAAAAGCTAAATGTAAATGTGTAAAAGCTAGTAGTCACAAAAGGTTTTGAATTTATTCATAAATTAAAGTAACTTTAAAAAAATGTTTCTAAAATTAATGCTTTAAAATATTTTTAGGAAAACATGGAAAATAGTTTCAAACGTTTAAATTTATAATGAAAAATACATTCCTACATAAAAAAATTTATATATAACATTTTTTATTAATTTACACTTAATAGTTAAAAAACTATTAGCGTGGTCAATTACTGTTCAAATTCCTGTCCAAGCCTGATGTCAGTATTCCTTTGAAATTTATTATGTCAGTATTTCTTTGAAAAATATATATTAGGGCAAATCGATTCGATTTGTGAATCAAGTGTCGCTTTGACCTGAGATTTGATTCGAAAAAAATAATTCGAATTTTTCGAAGTGTTGTTGTTTTTTCAGATATCCAAGCTAAGATGCTATCAAAATGATTTTATTTATCTCAGTCAGAGTAAAGTAATTGTAATACTGCTTCAAAACAACAACTAAAAAATTAATCCAGGCAAAAAAAAAAAATTTTTAAGTTAAGTTTTTTTTTTTTTTTTTTTAAAAAACTTGGATTTCCTCATTACTGATTTGATTCGTGTTTCAATTTGATTTGCAAATCAAGATCTGTTTTAATTTGAGATCTGATTCAAAACTAAAAATGCTGAATTGCAGGGCCCTTATATATACAAGTCTTTTTAATGATAAAGCTTAACTATAATAAATGGTTTTAAAGTTATTTAAAAAAAACTTTTGTTGTTTAGTCTTTTTTGTTGCTTTCATCCTCAAGATGGCTCTCATTTTAAAGGCGTATTTTTAAAATAAGCAATAGCCAATTATTTTATTCTTGTTAATTGTTATCCTTTATATCATTGGTTTAAAACACAAAAGCCACATGTCTACATTTGACATTTTCAAGAAATAGGTTTTCAAAGTTTGAGATCCTCAATTAATTAACTAATTGTAAATTATTTACAAGATCAGTTAAAATTGTAATCTTTGTTTATTTATTGTCATTAGTTATTTATTTTTACATTTATGACCAAAATGTCTAACTGTCAAATATGGACATGTTTATATATATGTATATATATATATATATATATATATATATATATATATATATATATATATATATATACAGGTCTTGTGATGAATAAAAACTGCGCGACGCATAAGCGCGACGTGATTTTTGACATCATTAAATTCTTTTTATTTGCTTTTCATATTTATCGACCAATTAACTTAATTACCGCAAAACTACTTTAAATGATTAATGTCGAAATGTTATTATTTAAAAATGTTTTGAAATGTTTCGTTATTTAAAATGTAAAAACTTTTGTTTATTTTCTCGACGTTTGACACGTTTTGTCTATACTAAACAAATAAAAAACATTATAAAAAACATTATAAAATATGCTAATATTTGATTTTTTTTTTCTCAAATAAGTAATTTAAAGTTTTTCAAATAATTAATTTTTTTATTTTAAAAAGTCAGCGAGTAATAAACTGGAAAATTTAGTATTGTACGATTAAAAACTGTGCAATAGCTAATATTTTTACTAGCGATTTTATATAATATTTATTTATTTTTATATATTTTCATAAAGCGGTTGATAAGCACAATCACTCGTATTACTAAAAAACTTTATTTTTAAAAACTATTATTAAAAATTCTTCGAAAAAATATTGACGTTCTATTTTTCGGCAGCAGTTCTTGAGCACGCTTCGTTGAGTTTCGGTAACTTTTAACAAAAAAGCGATTGTTATTATTTAAGTAACTTTTTTCGAGTTACTTTTTACAAAAATTTTAATAGCCGTACTTTTTTATTGAATCAAGTAGAATACGTTTTAATATTAATCCTTTTTTTTTTTTTTATTGCGCTTACCAATTTTTAAAATGTTTCCTCGAAATTACTCTTAAATACTTTAAATACGTCTAACAGTTAATAAATATTTTTAAATTTATGGAACAATTTTAAAACCTAACAAACCCCCATAAAATAATTATTCAAGTTAAAAATCTAAAACTAAAAGAAAGTATTTTTGTTCAATTTTATCGACAACTTTGCTATAATTGAATGAATATAATTTTCTGAATAATTTTATTAAAATGTTAGCTTAAAAAGATTTAAAAAAAATTAAAAAAAAAGCTTAAAAAACTTTTATTATCTGAATTTTTTCTACTTGAAAATAATGAGCATATTTAATTTTTTTGTAATTCAAACTTTTATATCAACTGCGTGCGGTTTTTAAAATACTTTATTAAATGTTAAAATAATCGTAAATTACTTCATTAAAAATCCGCTCAAAAATATCTTTAAGTATACTCAAACAAAAAATTTTTTGCTCGATGCAAATAGCTTTAGCTACACGCAAAATCGCTCTTGGACGACGAAAAATTCACATCGCCCGACGCTTTATCGCAAGGCCTGTATGTATATATATGTATATATATATTAGGGTGTCCCAAAAAACAACATTTTTGAAAAAAATCTGTTCCTACCTCCTAAATGTGTTCTAATACAAAAATGCTAGGTTTAAATTTTTGAATAAAAAATATTTTAAAGAGTTCTCCAAAACCCTTGAATATTTAAGGGGTCCCTTATATTTTCAAAATAAAAGTTTTTCAAGAATATGTCAACCTGGTACTTGAATAAAGAAAAATATATAAAAATAAAAAAAAAAGTATTCATTTCGAAAAAAAATTGTTATTTTTGGTTTTATTACATAAAAAATTGCGTTTTTTAACAAAAAATGAAAAAAATGTGCTTTTTGTGTTTTTTTATGGATAATTTTGATAGATAAGTTAAAATTTTAATTTTATTTCAAAAAAAAATTTAAACTTAATGTTTTTGTATTAGATCGAACACATTTAGGGGGTGGGAGCAGATTATTTTCAAAAATGTTGTTTTTTGGAACACACTAAAAAAACTGAACAAATATGTTACATTGTTTAGCTGTGAAACAAGTTTTTACTACCTCCATGTATGAATGAAAGCAAAAAAGTTTTGTGATCAAATTCACAAAGAACAGAATGGTTAGACCCAAACATATTTTATGTTCTCAGACAAAAATCACAAGTTAAGCTGTTTTTATGCCATATCTGCATTCTATGCCATCAATATATATCATATATATATATATATATATATATATATATATATATATATATATATATATATATATATCTATATATATATATATATATATATATATATATATATATATATATATATATATATATATATATATATATATATATATATTTATATATATATTTATATATATATTTATATATATATTTATATATATATATATATTAGGGTGGTTTTTTTTTGTTTTTTTTTTAATTTGATATCGCACACCCTTTTATTTGGTGAGGTTCAATAAAAAAAGTTCACTGATAAAATTTTTTTCCAAACTGATGATGGGAAGTGGTCCCCCACACCTGCTTTGCAAGCCCTTTAGAATCCCGTTTTTGTCCAAAATGACATATTTCTAAAATGTATTAAAATCAATAAGTATCAGTGTTACATGCATCAGTTTCACTTATTAGGGTTAAAAAAGTTATAAGAATATATATAGCAATTACCTATTCCCAGACTCCACCCTAGGAACACAAGGTCCCAGACCTGTTTTCAAAGCTCTTTTGAGATCCATTTTTGTCTAAAATAATATATTTCTGAAATCTATTAAAATCAGCTTGTATTAGTGTTACATGCATCAGTTTTACTTATTAGGGTGATAACAATAAAAAGAATGTATCTAGCAGTGACAAATTCCCAGACCCAACCCTCAGGGCACTAGGACCCGGACATGTTTTTTAAGCCTTTTTGAGGTCCGTTTTTGTTGAAAATGATAATTTTCTAAAACGCATTAGAATAAACTATTGTCAGTGCTACATGCAATAGTTTTACTTATTAGGTAAATGTATGAATGTATGTAGCAGAGGTAACTTGGGGAAAGGGGAAGGGGGGTAAAAATACAAAAAGCTGTTATAACAACTTAAAAAAGATTCTTATTTTTTAACATTTCTTCAATTTTTTAAATTGTGAGTACTAGTGGCCCATA